CATAGAATAATTAATATAAGAGAGGAATTTGCACATGTAAAGAATTTTTTTCAGCATCCCAAATTTAAGTTGTAATTACAAGTAATTTAAGTACATGTGGTTGCATGCCCAAAATTCCAGGAGGAGAAGGGATTGTGACATGGCCATGCTCCCCGGGGGGTGATTTCTCACTTTCCCTCTCACTATCTCTGTCTCTGTCCACAGAGCACACATACCCTATAGCAAAAACTTTTCAAGAAATTTTTAAAATATTGTACTTTTTTTTAAAAAAGAATTAATTTATTTAACTTTATTATTATTTTTCAGTTTGATCAGAGAAAGAGAGAGAGAGACTAAAAGTGAGAGAAAATGAGAAACCAAGCCACCAGGTCCAGGACTTGAACCACAGTCGGCCATTGGGAGTCCAGTACCCTTAACTACCACGCCACCTGCCAAGCCCTCAAGAGAGATTTTTTTCTTTTTTTCTTTTTTTTTTTGCCCTCTCTTGTGTTTTTATTTTTGTACCATTAATCTATCAAATTGCTTATGAATGTTTATAACAAATTTTCACAATTGTAGCTTTAAATACTTAACATATTATAGGCCTAAAGAAATCTCTATGAACTTTAAACATTTCTCTGTCCTTTAAAAAGGTTTTAGTTTTCCAGAACTCAAATATAAAGTTTTATGAAAATTCAAAGAATAGAATCATCACTGAAACATAATCCAGACAAGAAATTTCTTTAGATGCTTAGGAAACTCGCAGATGCTCTTTGTTCTAATTATCAAATAGTAATTTAAATATTGAAAGCAATTATAAAAGAAAACGAGGTTTTCCAGAGTTCAAACCATTCTCTAAGAAAAAGGATTTGTGAAAGCCCAAACCTGGTCTTTGAAAGAGGAGGCTATGTAATACTACTTTCAGCTTTTTCTGGTAAAGATAAAACATGAATTGTCTGAGAAAAACGATGGAATCTGTGATAAGAAGCAGCTGTATGTTTCAGTTTTACACTAACTAGCTGTGAGAGTAGGACCTAGGTATCTAGCCTTTCTGTAACTCGGTCACCTCTTTGGAAATTAACAAGGGATGAGGTCTGTGCTTTTGATACTGTGTTTCTTTGAAACTAAATGCTCCATGAAGGTACCACAGTGCTATTGAGAAAGATGAAAGGCAAGGCAGGCAGAGGGCTATATATAAACAGCCTATTCCTAATTTAAAAGGAACAACTCTATTATTTATTAATTCTTTTTTCAAGTTTATTTATTTCTTCCCTGAGAGAGAGAGGGTGAGCAAGAGAAATAGAAGAAGACCCCTGACAGCATCTTCACAGCTCGATTCGCCCCCAGCCATCCTGGATCTTGCAGAGGGAGACCTCTGAGACCAGACTGGGGACTTTGCCGCGTGGGTTCGCTTGCAACACTGCTCTGCCACTTTCTGGCTCCAAATTAATTATTCCTTAATATATATATATATATATATTTTTCCTTTATATATATATATATATATCACTAGAACTTGAATCAAGTAGGGACAAATCCCCACTTGAAAAAAAAAATCTGCGGTTTGAAAAAAGAGGAAACTTTATATTTGCCCCCTCCCCCAGAGAAGTTTTCATGTTAAAATATTTAAGTATGGATGCATTATACAGATAAAATAATTTGGGGATTTGGGGAATATGGGGATACTTCAAAAAGCTTTGGGTTCAAAAAATATTTGAAACCCATGCAGTTTTTTCATATAATGAATTTTCCATGAAATTTGTAAGTTCCTTGTATGTTACATACCACACTTTACCTTATCATAACCTGACAATATAATTCGCTCTCCTTTTCTAGTGAAGTAAAATGAGACAGAAAGAGGCTAAATTGTTCAGGATCACAGTACAGGAATTAGCAGATCCTTAATTAAAGCACAGCTCTGTTAGTGCGGCTCTGTCTGCTGTAGTCCTTGCTACTTCTTTCACCAAGGTGTTCTTCTAAAGAAAACAGAAACAAAGACATTTTGCTGACGTCATCTGTTTTGTAATGACTGAACTCTGTGGCTCTGTACTGAGGTGAAAATTAAAATGTCCAGTGCCCCAACAAAAATGATTCTCTCTTCACTGGGTGGATCTCTGCTCCTGTGCTGTGGGTGGTGGATGGGCCATGATTACTAGCTTTGCAAAGCTGAAAATCCTCGTGCCTCTGGCCCAGCTTCCCTGTTTATCCCATACAGCTACGCCCTATGATATTTTTACCCCTCCTGGATGGTGCCACGGAAGGGGCTATTATTAATCCTCAGTTGAAACGAACACCATTGCTCTCTTACTCCCCTGGAATCACTACTTTCCTCTAATTTCTCCTTCTCTCTGAACCATCTAATACAACTGAGCCATCGTGTATATTTAACAAGGATATAAAAAGCCATTAAAAAATCATCCCCCCCCCCACACACACACACACAAAAGGCAAGGAACACTAGGGGAAGCAAGGTTTATCAGCACCAGAGATGGGATATAGAGGGCCCGGGTCCTACGGTGCACTATGAGTGTTTGCATTCCAGGAAAATGTGAAGCTTGTCAGCTGAAGACCTTTTGTGAAATGTGTGCCTGCTCTTAAAACAAATGCCAGAAATTTGGTATTTGTGCCTCTGGAAATAACAGGGCCTGTTTAAATCTTGGGAAGTGCTGTGCCCATCTTGCTACTTGCCAACAGTAAAGGCAGACAGGCAGTGGGGCGGCTCACGTCCACAGGGCAACAAAGCCCAGAAGACATGGCCCGGGGCTTGTGTGCTTCTGGGTGGCTTACTATGTCAAACCATGGCTCTCTTTTTGTTTCAACGAACTAAGTGAAGCATTTGTTACACATGAGTCATCCTACTTGACCCTTAGGATGATATAAATTGAGGACAAAGGTTGAATTTAAAGATTTTATGGGAAATAATGGCACCAAGTACCAAATGCTCACATAGCTTAAAAATGAGCTGTTTTCATTTTATCGGTACTTATAAGAAAAATTTAATAATTATTTCCATATAATTAAAAAGTCACAATTAGAAAATAACAATGGCATGTAATTATATGCTATATATGACAGGGCAATTCCTACTTTTACACTTAAACAAAACTTTAGATGTTTATGAGGAGTAATTAAACTTTTGTTCTAAATTGGCCAACAGAAATAAATTCCATTCTTACCCAAAGCAAGGTGTGTCTGAGGAGGTGATCAGAGCCACAGGTAGAGTGACTGGATGGGCCAAACCACGCATGCCTGGGGCACATCCCTGGGTTAACCCCTACAGTTAAGGAATGGTCATGGGAGGGCTGGAATTGGAGAATGAATCGGAGTGCCACAGTCACAAAATAAACCCTACAATCTCCTGGCAATCATGCTCCTGGGTGACAGTTCATTTGAGAATGGACATAAAGCCAAGCCAGACAAAAATACACATACATATGTGCATCAATCCCCAGATCTGATCATTTACAATGAGTGGTACAAATCGGCTTCCCTATTTCCATCACTCCCCTCAGCAGTGCTAAATGTTCAGATCTCCTCTGTAAATGGTCGTTCTGCTACTGGAGATGCTTCTCACATCCACACCAGTGGTCCCTTTCATCAGAAGCTCAGACCATATGGGTCTGTACTTTCCTGTGCTCTGCTTTCCAGGAAGCCTGGGAGTGCTCTGAACAATCTAGGATTTGGTGACAACCTCCTGTCATTACACTGTGTGGCAGCTGCTATCAGATCACCAGTTCTCCCTGATCTGTGGAGATACTTTCCAAGACCCTCAGTAGATGCCTGCACTGCAGCTAGTACCAAGTCCTGTATTTTTTTCCCCATACACATTTGCTTATGATAAAGTACAATTCATAAATTAAGCACAGGGAGAGATTAACAACATAATAAAAAAAGAACAATTGTAAAAATATATTGCAATACAAGTTATGTAAATGTTATATATTTCTCCAAATACCAGATTGAGGTGACCATAGGAGATTGAAACAATGGGATGTGAAACCATGGGTATGAGGGACTACTGTATTTCCTTGTGAATTCATGCCTGAGATCTTCATTCGAGTAGAGTCCTCTGTGTATCTTAACTCGCCTGTAGTCTGCCTTTTGAGTTCTTGTGATCACACCCAGGTTTAGTCTTCTTACTCACTCACAAACCTATTAACTTAAAATCCTGGGTTATCTGAAAAGCTGATGCATTTTTGCACAGAAAAAACATGTCACAACTTTTTCAACAACCAATAAGACTTGTGAGAAGCATTCAGTAACTTAGAAGGTCAACTCTCCTATCAAATAAATGACATTTACTTTTAATGGATATTAAGGAAGTCTGAACCTCAGACACAATGACCTGCTATCTTCGTGGGAGTGGGAAAAAACAACTCATTCCTTTTCCCCATAGTTATGAAATACTAAGCACAAACTAATTTTTCAGTATATTTATATATTTTCAAGTAAATTTACTCTGCTTCACTTCTATTAAACTCTTGCAAGATGTCTGTAAAATGATAAACACACTTTGCTCTTATGTGTTAGATGCAAGAAATATTGTGGAGGAAGATGAATTTGTTTTTCATATTCTATATTCAATAACTGTATTTTAACTAGATTTTGGCTACTCATTACTTTTTCCTACTAAGTCTACCCCATTTTGGCATGGCAAATTCCAGGTCGGTTATATTTAACACAAGCGAACTGAACTGTGTTGTGCCTCAGAAAGCATTTCCCTGTGATCTCAGATGACAGAGGAATAAAATCACATAAATAGGAGAGATTACATAAATCCATTAGCACAGCAAATATTATGATTGGGAATGCTGGAGCCAATATTAATTTAAACTTACTTTTCTAAAAAATGTATAAACTAGACTTCTTAGTATACAGAGATGCAATACAATTTGTCAATAATGGTATTTTGATATTAAGTTTATATTCATAATTAATTAGAACATTAGGGAAACATGTAACATATTTTAAATAATTTTAAATACATAAAACTCAATAAAACAATCACTTTGGGTTGAACAGGTTGCCTGGGGGTGCATCTCTCTCATCAGGGAGAGAGACAAAGCACCCTCAAGGGGATATAGTCATGCTGCAACCTATCACTTCTCTACGTGAATAAAACAATGCTTCTCCCAGTGCCTGTGTATTCGATCTGTCTTGGTGACTCCAACGTCTGCAAACCATGTAGTCAGTTGGTATTCTGGAATGACAGCTCCTGGGAGAGGGCTTTGTTAGGTGCTGGAATCCTCCCTTTAGTGATTCTGGATCCTCCTTCCCTGGAGGAGAAAGCACGTGTCACCTGTTGGACAATTTGTAATTCTAATCTTCTATAACTTGTTCACAGAAATTATTCTAAAGCATTAGTAAGTGAAACATTGCATTAATAACATTAGATATGCTTATTTATTTGAAAGTAGAATCACATCATCTGATGTCTTTAAAGAGTGTCATTTATAAAACGAAGAAGCAAAACTTCTCTTTTCAACTGCCAGAGGTTGCAGGTATTCCCAGAGAGGGACAAAGAGAGAGGGAGAGAGGTAGGGAGAAAGCACCCCCCAGGGGAGCGTGGTCATGATGCAATCCTTTCTTCTCCACTTTCCCATCTTGTCAGGATTTGGGGCACGCATACACATGTCCCTGACATGTTTTTTTCAAGCTGTCAGGACTGGGATGGGAACCACTATCAGTCATGTGGGGTCCAGCTACCTTAACCACTAGGCTATGAGGCTAGCCAAAACAAAAAGTATCTGCAGCTCTGCAAAGAACATGTATTAACTATAGTGCAGAAAATAGCACATAAACTATGACCTGTTTCCAGCTACTTCTGAGGGCCATATTGGTTGAACATGTGACATTGGCTGGCTCTATAACAATTTTCTTTTTCAAAAATGTAGAATCAGGGATCGGATTTCAAACAGTTACCTGGGTTGATAGTGGTGGTAGCCAAACTAGGAAAACCTGGCAAAGAAAACCTTCCTTTTGAAGCATGTATGATGTCAGAATGTGGGAGTTAGCCTCAGAGCACAGACCTCCACCAGACAAAAGGACAAACATGATCCAGATCTAGGGAAGGGGGAAAGGCCGTGCAGGGTCAGAGGAAGGAATGGTGATGCCTTCTGCTCTGCTCTGCCAGATTTCCTGATGCAATTTTCAGTCCCTATATTTCAAATGATTTCTTGCCCCTTATAATAACAGTGATAATGGCAATAATAGAATTAATTGGAGGTAAAATTTAGTAAGCATGCAATAAAATTTTTCCAAAGGATCCTGGGGTTTAGCCAAGTTTGGAAACTCTTTACAAAGAGATGCTTTCGTACGAATTCCTGAACAGTAATTTATTATGCAAAAGCATTATTTTATATGAGAGCAGTATTTCTTCTAGGAAAGTTTAGGTGTTAGTTATTCACACTTAATAGTGTGGCAGTTAGTTCCAGGGAACTTGATAAGCTCTGTGTAATCCCACCCACATTTAGATCACTCTGGGGACCAACCAACCAGGGCTCAACTTCCCGGGGTTTGAAAATCTCTGAAAGAGAAGAACGTGAACAGAAGAGAGAGTAGGTCTGAACAATTAAAAGCAGAAGTAATTGGTTGCTTCAGAGTGAAAGGATTATCTTAAATACAGGAGGATAAAGATTGCTGACTTTCTCTCTCACCTTCCAATGGGAGAGAAGTATTGAAAAGAGCTACATTTTCTGCAAGAGACTGGGAGCTTAAACAACGCTCTCCTGTTAACCTACACAAAGGAAAAGAACACCAATAAATGTGAAATGTTAGAGGCCTTATCAGTACATTGCAGGACAAAGCGGAGAGATGGGAGAAAGTATTACATTTTGACTCAAAGCATTCCAGTGTTGGGTATGAGGCATGACCAAGACATGGCTGCTAGAAGCCCTGGAAAGGACAGGAGGAGATAATTGATCTCACTGGTAAACAAGAAACGAGAATGCCATAGGAAACACTTTCTAGAACTCCCATATATAATAAGCAGTGATTAGAAGGCAATGAAGTATTTAAAATTCTTTGCACGGGGAAGCCAGATGATGTCTTTCTCACTGCCACCAGTCATCATCTATCTGAGGCAATTCGCGTCCAAGTTCATGAAGGGGCTTGTACTGTCAGCCCAGTAATGCTCACGAGAAAGCAGAGGCACTGAGGCAATGTGGCTCTGATGGAGCGAGGACAGAGGGCAAGGTGAGATGGGGCATACAGGATCCTCAGAAAGCGTAGACATGCGACCACCACATAATCATGGGAGCTCAGAGGATGCCCACAGGTTTAGGGAGTAAAAACACAAGAAGCTGGAAAAGGAATATAAAGAGCGTTTGCCCTCTTTGAGACTCTTATTAGAACTAGTCAAACTTGGGGCCGGCAGTTGGTGTAATGGCTATGTTGCTGGACTCCCATGTAGTTGACTGTGGTTCGAGTCCTGGATGTGGTGGCTTAAACTCATGCTAGGCACATGTACGTGCGTGCCCAAGATCCCAAGAGAATAGAAGAGAAGGGGTTGCGGCTTGGCCACCCCCCTAGGGGAACTTTGTGCTTTCTGTCTCTCTGTCTCTTTCTGGCGAGCACACGTGCCCTACAGCAAAAATCTCTCAAAAAAAAAAAAAAAAAGAACTAGTCAAAATCTTTTATTTTCAGTAAATGCCAGTGTTTTATTTGGAAAGTAGTTCTTCAGCTTTCTTCTTCTCTGGAAAAAAAGATCTATGTTTTAGTTATTCATTTTTAAAATAAAATTTACACGGATACATATAATTTTCACATTGGGGGAATTATCTAGGTTGTCTTGGCATTTTCTTAGGCCTACATTTAAATAAAATTACAGACCAGAAACACCACCTCTTGATAGATGTTGAGGTGTGTTTGTTTTAGAAAAGTCCAAAAATTTTCTTCTAATCCTCCGATTTGGTAGATGTCATATTACTTAAATTGTCAAAACAAAATGTTTAAATTTTGTGCCTTAAGCTACTTATCTAATGCCATATGAAGGATGTATTTTGACTCAAATACTAAGGAAAAAATAAGTGCCTCTCTTTCACAGTAAAGATTTACTGAAAAATAAATTTCATAAATACTGACTTTTAGACATAAGGTTGTAGAAGACTGTTTTCTTTTCCTACAAAAGAATGCAAACTATTTTAGCCATATAGGGCCTGAATGTATGCTACTTAAACCCTTAGGGACATCCACGATATCTACCACTACTCCAAAACACGCTTCCTAGTCGACTTTCCCGTGTATAGAAGACTGTACATACAAGCTTTTAATTGGAAATTTATTTTCCTTAGGTACTTTTTAAGGTATTTCTTTTTTTCTCTTAAGTTTATTCATTTCTCTTTTCTGTGACAGCATGTGTGGAGAGAGTACATACCTCCACACAGGGTCCAGACATCGGGATCCACCCCAGCTCAGCCAGCCTGGGTGGTGGGCATGTGTGCACCGTGTGTGTGCTGTTATATGCCACGTACTCAGGGAGAGCTCCTGATGCAAACCTGGAACTTCCCCATGCAGGCCACCCTGGGCACTGCCCTCTGCCCCGTGCTACCAACCAGCCCCTTTATAGGTATTTCCCTCATTCAAATGCTGATACCTTGAAGTAGGCACAGACCCATCATAGGATGATAGCTATTTCTGAAGCGAACATAGAGGAAACTTTTAACTTTTAACTAAGGGTTCAATAAGCATAACAAAATTATAATTTTTGTTACCTCTTCTCAAGTTACACAAATTCCAGCAAAAAAAAAAAAAAAAGTACATGGATAGAAGTTATCATATAAACACTGGGGGTCAGGCAGTTTTAAAGACTGTATTTTATTTTGCAAAGATGTCTGCATGCTATTCTAGGGCCTTGTTATTCCTCCATCAAAGGTGAGGTCAAATTCCCCTCTTCTTGAGCTGAGGCAGAGCATGTGACTAAACTATAATCAAATAATGTGGCAGAAATTACACTGTCCCAGATAATGACAGTTCTGATTTGAACGCTGGATCCCGAAATGATGAATTAGGATTCCCAGTATCCCATGCCATGAGGTAGCCCAGTCACAAGAAGGCCAGGAAAGGTGTTCTAGTTAGTCTACGGTCCCAGGTGAGTCCCAGCTGGAAGCCAGCCATTTGTCCCGTTCCCAATCACTGGCCCGTAATTAAGGAGTGCTATCATAGTGAGTGGAATTGAAGTCTGGAGACTGGAAGCTGGATGATGCCACCAGAGAAAATTTTAAAAGTCAGCAAATAACTAAAGCAGGCAGTATTTGCTTAGAACGTGGTAAAAAGTGAAGTCTGAAAAGGCTTTCAAAAGATTTTCTGCAAACTTCAAAGGTCCCAATGAAAAAATGAGGGCCTTTCTTATGTAACAGCAGAGCTGTCTATGTTGCCACCTGTGGTAATCTGCAAAAGAGGCATCGTATCTAAGGAACTTAATGAACTAGCCAGAAATATTTCCATAGAGAAAATAAAAAAGGACCATCTGGCCTCAACTCAATGGGAAGAATCTGAGAAGAGATAAAACCTGATGATAACTTGGAGAGGACAAAGACAGACTAAAGAATGAACTGAGAAATAGAAAGGAACAAGGACAGAATGAGTTTAAAATAAAACTGATTTTCTGCTGATTATCAGCATCAACTGTCAGACGTGTAATTAACGACACCTCGAGAATATCTTGTCCCAGACACTGAGTCTTCCTAGAAGTAACTTCAGACATTGTAGAACTTAAAAAAAAAGAGACATTCTTGCTATACCCTTTTGCCATGTCTGTCTCACAGAAACTAAAATTTGAGGTAAATTTCTAATGCAAAAATTTTAATGAAAACAATATTTTTATGAAAATGTCAAGTTTTTCTCAAAATATTATGTACTTAAAACCCCCTGACCATCTTGTTGAAACACACAGATTCTGATTTGATAAGGATCAGCTAGGCCCTGATCCTGACATCTTATCCTATGGGGATGAAAACACTGCTGGTTTAAGAATCTTACTTTGCGGCTGTTACAAGTGTCTCACCCAGATTTATACAAGAAAATGAATCCTGAAAGGAAAGGATATTTGTAGTTCTCTCCTTAATTCTCCCAGAAGTGGTACCTAGCACCATCTTAGAGGCACAGGTGATACAGTAATTCATGTGTGTATTAAAAATAAACAGCTCTTGAGGCAGAAGAAGCCACGGGCCTTCAGGACAAGGTTCCACATGGCTACTGTGAACTAGATTTTTAAGGGAATGAAGATTTTCTACTAATAATTCAGCCTCCAACAAACGAGCTAGCGCAAGCACAATAG